TGGGAGGAGCGGGGGTGGCGGTGGGGGGACTGGAGGGGGGTTGAGCTCCGGCAACGGCGAAGGCAATGGAGATCAAAGTGAAGCAAAACAAAGCTTGAGGATCCATAATTGTGGCTTGGCTTCTGAAATCAAAAGAGAGGAAGAGAATAAATAGAAGATTTAGGAAACGGAGGACATTTTAGGTAATTTCATATCCAATAAACATAACGAATGAAGAATNNNNTTCATTTGCCTTCGAACAAAAAAACCCATCCCCACCCGCCACCCGCCACCCGCCACCAAACATATCTCACGTATCCCACTGTCGGTGGGCCCAACCGACCATCAAACTTTGGATCACATAGAATCTACGACTGCCACGTGTCCCCTACTATGTGCTCCGCTACACTCGATCTAAAATATTCGACCAATTCAATCCAACTCATATAATTACATACCCATCTATTTATTATTTATCCCACAACCATTTGATATATATTTAAAATTAAATAAATATATGAAAAAATAAATAAATAAATTATTGAAATCAACTAATTTAATTAGATTTTAGCTTAAATTAAAAAAATTATAATTCAAATCAGATCTATATAAATATAAGACTTGACCCGATTCAATCCATGAATATTGACATGTATTATTTTTACGTCCTTTTTCTTTTTTTAAATTAATTTAAAAAGCATTTATATAATACCAATTATGAATGGGGCCTTCCACGTGATGATGCATGATTAAACCCATTGATGTTTAAGTTAAATTATTGCAATCACCAAACTCTCCATTCACTTTTTTCTTTCCTTTTAAATAACATTCTTTCAATAAATAAATACTATATATATATATATATATATATGAATGTAAGTATATTATTGGAGTCAATTAACCAATCTATAAGTGTGTAACAATTTTATGAATAATCATATATTTATGTCGTTTATATTTGCATTTTAGCGGCTTTAATTATTTGTTTAGACCTTTCACTAGAATGCGTGACTTGCTCTGTACGTATGTTAGTCTAAAAAATGTGTATATTGAACTTATATAGTTAATGTATGTTTTAATCTCGATCTTGACTAATTAAGTAGTTGCTTTGATTTAAAAATATTTATAATAAAATTATTTATAAATATTAAAATGTTAACTAATAAAATGACTTCTAATAATATAATATATATATCATTTTAATAAAAAAAAATTATTGAAATTCAAGAATCATAATATTAAAATGGGAGGTTTAAAAATATTGGAACAAAAAATAAATTAAATTAAGGTATTTTTTTAAAAAAATTAATGGATTTCTTTCCCAGTAAGATATTTTTTATTTATTTTTATTTAATTTAAGGAAATGATTGGGGGATAATTTAAAAAAAAAAAACAATTTAAATGTTTTTTTTAATAAATAACTGGTTAATAAATTTACAAAAAGAAAAGGAAAATTGTGAGAAAATTTGGAAGATAATTGGGTAGCAGTTGGACAACTAAACATAACGAACCTGCTTTGGTACGAGGTTCAATAATGTGAAAATAATAATAATATTATTAAACAAATAATTCTCAAAATATCTTTCTTAAATTTATAAAATTATTTTAATTAAATCTTTATATATTATAAAATATACAAATTATAGAGTATAATTATTTTTTCAATAACTATAACATTATTATAATCAAATTCAAAATTATTTACATTAATTTTTAAAAAAATTAAAATGACGTCATATAAATTTTAAATTTGAAACGTTTATAATTTTATAGTTAAAGTGATAATTAATATATATTTAAAAAATAGAATTACAAATTTTGGAATAATTTATTAAAAAAAATACTTTTAATACAATTTCAATTATTAAAATATCCAATACAAACAGATATTTGAATGTTACTCAAAAGTAGGACGGAGTGTTTGGTGAGTCCTAAGTAGGTGTCGAGATCTAATTGGCTGGACGTCGGTGACGGTGACTTGTGACAGACATTCAAAAGTCAAAAGTGTATTATTAAAGGTTTATTTACGGTAATGATTTGTGGTGAAATTAAACTATTAAATCATTAGTTAATGTGGGACCCACGTGGCAAAGTTTTTTTATTTTTTATTTTTATTTTTTTAAGTTGGGAAAAAGATTAATTTTAAAAAAGGAACAATTTGGTAAAATAAGATTTGATTTTTTAATTAAACAAATTAATAAAAATACCTTATATTTTAATATCCTCTGAAAAAATTACTTCCTCAATAATAAATATAGTATATTAAAAAAAACTATTATTAAAAATGTTTTATCCTGACGTTTACGTCCTCAATAATAAATATCGCATATTAAAAAAATATTATAAAGTAATAAAAATTATAATGATATAATTTTTATACAATAAGGTTACAACTCTATAGAAATCATTATTTACATAAAAATGATATATTATCAAACAAGAAAATGTAAAAAAGAATTGGACATTATTATGATTATATATTATAATTGAAGGAAAAGGGAAGCCAACGTAGAGTGAAAGCAATGGTAAATCCGTTTCAGTTGGGCTGTCTAATCAACCTTTATAACCATGCAACATGTTTTATTATTATTATTATTATTTTAAATATTTAAATATTTCGATAAATAATTCAGACTATTTAAATCAATAATTAGATATAAAATAAAAAAAATGTACATAAATTTATTGACATTAAAAAAAAAAAAGAAATTCTTGAAATTTAGCATAATTTGTAACCTAAAATTCAAATCTATGATTTGAGTGTTTATGTTTA